ATTATCGGAGGTCAACGGGCAGAGGAAGGGGGCCCATTTTGCGGGTTTTTGACGGATTTCTTTGCTTTTTTCGCTACTAGGGCATTATTCAGCATCTTCACTTCCACTATGAGCACAACAGAATCCTATCGCAATCTCTCGCTTTAAGCACCTGTTGCTCGAGCGTGCTTTTATCTTCGCTAGCGAGCATCACGTCATCAGCATAAAGAAGCGTCCATGGAGCCGGCTTCTGGAGATCTCTCGTAATGGCATCCATGACGAACAAATAGGAGTGGGGATAACGCAGAGCCTTGATGTACCCCGACAGAGATGGGAAAATCCATCGATGTTCCTGCTGCCGTTTGCACTCGGCTCTTTGGACTCGAGTAAAGGATGCGCACCCACTCGACGAGCTCTTCAGGCACGCCAAATACCATATAACGTCGCGCGGAACGCGGTCGAATGCCTTCTCCAAATCTAGGAAGGCAAGGTGCACCGGTCTTTGTTTCTCGCGATGCTTTTCTAGCAGAAGGCGAGCGGCGTGTATTGGCATCGATAGTGCGGGAACTGAACAAGATTAGGCGCTTCACCGGAAGAGTAGGAGCTAGAGACTTTGAACCGGTTTCAGGTCCTGAAGACGACGGTTTGTCGAAACGTTGACCAATAAACGGTTCCACCATAACAACCTGTGCGGCACAAAAGAAGAAAAACACACAATATCAAGACGTTAGAGTGTTTCTTCTTTCAGAAAACACTTCACAAAATTTATCTTCTAATAACTTAGCCTTTCCCTGATCTAACAATAAGGTTGCAACTCGCCCATCCCTTTTGAGGCAGAGTATTCTCTGGAACCTAGTTTCTTGTTCAGCAGTCTGAAAAACTCCATTTTCCAAGAAGAGAGTCAAATTTCACAGAGAGTCGGAAAAATTTCTCGCAGTCCACGTTCGAACGAGAGTATCTGGCTGTATAAAATTTACAACTCTTGTGTTCACGCATAATTTACAAGTAAGGGAGAAGGTAGGCACGCGGAGCAAGAATACGCTCAATAGGCACAAACATGTCAAAGAAGTGTGGTAAAATATTCAAGAACATCTCATATTTCCCAATGAGCGAACAGCCTCAAAAGCATCCCTCCAAACAATAGAAGAAAGGTATGAATAAACTTTCAAAAACAGGAATGTGAACGGAGGCTCTAAGTAGCTGCACGTGAAACATTTTGCTATTGTGATCACTACTACCAACGCTGTTAACAAGTGTTATGTCATTGGAAAACACAAGATCAAGATTTTAATCCCCTCTTGTACTCTTTTTATTTTTACATGTTCCTCAAAATCATGAGCTAGCAAGGTATGCAAGAAGCAGATCCGGTATTTGCCTAATCCGATGGAACCAAATTGCAGCCTAATTCAGGGAAGTTGAAATCCACAACAATCATAGAAGGATCGTCATATGCTGTTTAATCGCTAATAGCATTGGCAAGTTGATCAATTAAAAGATGAGCATGAGGGGGCTCTATATATTACGATAAATCTTATTTTGCTACATTCAAAGAGGATGTCGACGGCTAATATCTCATACGCGTCACGAATCGAGTCACAAAAAAACTTCTACGTAATTGAATATGTTCCGTATGAACATTAGCACACCTCCTCCCTATCTTTTGTACCCGTTAGGCCGCTACCCCGCTCATAGTTCGCGACTCCAGAGATTAGGGTAGTACGCGACAATGATTTTAGTGTTCGTGCCAAAGACGTTGAAAAGTAGAGCAGTGAATGGGGATAGGTGAAGACGCACATC